ATCACCTCGGTGCAGGCCATCTACGTCCCCGCGGACGACCTGACCGACCCCGCCCCGGCCACGGCGTTCAGCCACCTCGACGCGTTCGTCGTGCTCTCCCGCGGCATCGCCGAGAAGGGCATCTACCCCGCGGTCGACCCGCTCGGCTCCACCTCCCGAATTCTCGACCCGGGCATCATCGGCCAGCGTCACTACGACGTCTCCCGCAAGGTGCAGGTCATCCTGCAGCGCTACAAGGACCTCCAGGACATCATCGCCATCCTGGGTGTCGACGAGCTCTCCGAAGAGGACAAGCGCATCGTCTCCCGCGCCCGTCGAATCGAGCGCTTCCTCTCCCAGCCGTTCTTCGTCGCCGAGCAGTTCATCGGCATCCCGGGCGTGTACACCACGCTCGAGGAGACGCTGGACAGCTTCGAGCGCCTCTGCAACGGCGAGGGCGACGACCTGCCCGAGTNNNACCCTCGACGACGCGAAGGCCAAGGCCGAGAAGATGGCCGTCGGGGCGTAAGCGTCCGAATACGATGAAAACACCAAAAACCCGCTCATTCCTGGGCGGGTTTTTTCGTGCGCGGGCCGACCGCGAGCGCGAACTCCCTACAATCCGGCCGTGACCTCCGACAGCCCCATGAACGACCCCGTCTTCAACGCGATGCTCATGAGCATGTGCTTCGTGTGCACCGCGGACGGCGTGATCCAGGAATCCGAGATCGACGCCATCGTGACGATCGCGCGCGGGCACACCGGCGTCGCCGTCGACGAGGTCGACGTCCGGCGTGTCATCCTCCAGACGCAGGAGCAGGGGGCCGACATCGCCGCGTCGCTGCGCGACACGGCCTCGAAGCTCGATGAGCCGGGCAAGGAATCGGTCATCAAGGCCTGCCTCGCCGTCGCCACCGCGGACGGCAGCTTCGACGACTCCGAGAAAGCCCTCGTCTCCCAAGTCGCCAGCATCCTGGGTATGACGCCCGCCCACATGATGGGCGTCATCGCGGATATCCGGCAGGACACGGATCCCGCCTAAGCGGAGCCGGACTCGATTTTTCCAATTTTTGGTCTCGCGCTTCGCGCGGGCAGTTCTGAATGCTACGGTGTTCTCGGACCGTCCCGGCACAGGGGGCGGCGACACACACACCGAAGGAGAGACCCATGACCACCCGCACCACGAGGGTCGGCGCTGCGCTGCTCGCGCTCGCGTCGACAACAGCCGTCGCGTCCGCCAACCCGGACCTGACGTTCGACCACTTCGCGTTCACCGGCATGATCACCCAGCCGACGCTCATCACCTTCGAATGGGAAGCCGACGTGATCAACATCGGCGACATGCCCATCGACCTCTTCGGCGACGACGGCACACCCGACGACGTCATCATCCAGACCTTCCTCTCCGACACCCCGGACGCGAGCGGGACGCTCCTCGCCTCCGGCGGGAGCAACTTCGGCACGCCTCCGCTCATCCTCGGACCGGGCGAGATCGGCTCCCTGGCCTTCGCGTCCAACACGGCCAACCTCCCGGACCCCGGACAGCTCGGCAACTTCCAGTGGCTCGTCCTGGACATCCTCAACACCACCGAGGACCCCTCCAAGCTCGACAACAACCGCCTCATCATCTTCCTGCCGACACCCGGGGCCGCGACCCTCGCGGGCATCGCCGGTCTGAGCCTGCTCCGACGCCGCCGCGCGTAACTTTGCCTTTCCCACGGCATCCAAAGCCCGCCCCCCGAGGCGGGCTTTTTTTATGATGAGAACCGACGTTCAACATCATGCCGCGACGCCATCCGAGCCGACCCGGCACCCCCGCATCCCGCCCGGAGCACACGATGAGCGATTCACCGCCGCCCCCCCGCGCCACGCCGGTCCCCGCGTCCCCGTACAACGAGAACAACTTCTTCCGCTCCGATCGCGTGATCGTCGCCCAGATCCTCTACCGGCCGGAAGTCTTCAGCAATCTCTACTGGACCGCCTACGGGCTCATCATCGGCGGCGTCGTGACCGCGATCTTCCTCATCGGGATCCCCGTCATCTTCGCGGGCCTCGTCTGCTGGTACATCCTCATGTACAAGTGCTGGAAGCAGATCAGCGACGGCTACCAGCGCACCACCCCGGGCCTCGCCGTCGGCCTGTGCTTCGTGCCCTTTTTCAACCTCTACTGGATCTTCGTGGCCAACTGGGGGCTCGGCAAGGACATCAACGCCTACATCCGCCGCCACAACGTCCAGACACAATTCGTGAGCGAGGGCCTCGGGCTCGCGGCCACGATCCTGTTCGTCTGCGCCGCGATCCCGTACATCGGCCTGCTCATCTCGATCCCCGCGCTCATCGTCGGCATGGTCTTCTACGGGCAGGTGAAATCCGCGTCGTCGCGGATCGCGCTCGCCAAGATCAACGGCGAGATCCCGCCGCACTCGATCGCTCCGAGCGCCTGACCCGGAACGTCTCACTCGTGGGCCGCTCGAAAGGCAACGCATGACCGTCAACACCAAGAAAGCCGAGCGCCGCAACCTCGCGTTCGGCTCGTTCGACGACGTCCTCGCGGACATCGACCGCATCGAAACGGCGCACAACGAGCGAACCCTCCGCCACACCGGCAACTGGACCGCGGGCCAGATCTACTGGCACTGCGCGGAGCTGATGCGGAGTTCGATCGAGGGCTTCCCGCCGAATTCGAAACCACCGCTCGTGCTGCGGCTCTTCGCGAAGCTCATCAAAAAGAAAGCGGTCTCCCCGGGCGGCGAGCCGCCGGCGGGCTTCAAGCTCCCCAAGTCGCTCGAAACCTTCGAACCCGGCCCGCACGTGCCCTTCGAGCAGGGCGCCGAGCGCCTCCGCGGGTACATCGCCGATGTCACCACCGGCGGCCAGCGCATGGAGCAGCCCAGCCCGCTCTTCGGCGACATGAATCACGAATACTGGACCAACATCCACGTCGGCCACTGCCAGATGCACTTCTCCTTCCTCCACCCGAAGTAACCCCGATGACCGCCTTCACCTACCGCAAAAGCACCCAGACCGACCTGCCCACGCTCAACCGCCTCCTCGCCGACGCGTTCACAAGCTCGGACCCGCCGGACGTCGAATCGATCACCGAATGGACCAAGGGCGCGAGCCTCGCGCAGCTCCGCACCTTCGAGGCCGACGGGCGGATCGTCGGCACGACGCGCCTCATCGAGATGGGCCAGTACTTCGGCGGCACCCGCGTCGCCATGACGGGCATCGCCGGCGTCACCATCACGCCCGAGGCCCGCGCCACCGGCGCCGGACGCGTCCTCATGGACGAGACGCTCAAAGAGATGCACGCGAGCGGCACGCCCATCAGCGTCCTCTACGCCTCCACCAGCGCCTTCTACCGCAAGTGCGGCTACGAGACCGCGGGCCTGTGCTGCACGCACCGCGTCCCGGTCCACCTCGTCCCGAAGGCCGGCTGCCCGCTCACGGTCCGCCCCTACGAGCAAGAAGACCAGCCCGCCGTCGAAGCGTGCTACGAGCGCTCCGTCCGCGACAAGGACGGCTCGCTCTCGCGCACCGAGTACATCTGGGACCGCGTGCGCAATCCGAAGAAGAAACAGGCCAAGGGCTACGTCTTCGAGAACGGAGACCGCGCCATCGAAGGCTACATCTTCCACCGCCAGGAGCCGCTCCCCAACGTCCCCTTCCCCATGCTCCTGCACTGCACCGACCTGTGCGCCACCACGCCCGACGCGAGGGACACGCTCTTCTCCCACGTCCGCGGCTACAGCTCCATGTGCCACACGCTCGAGTTCGACGCCGGCCCCTCGCACCCCCTCGCCCTCGCGCTCGCCCAGCAGCGCACCGAGATCTCCCTCCGCGAGCACTGGATGCTCCGCGTGGTGGACGCGAAGAAGGCCCTCGAGCAACGCGGCTACCCCCGCGCGGCCGACGCGGCGCTCTGCTTCGAACTCGTGGACGCCGACCTGCCCGAGAACGCCGGCTCCTGGACGCTTACGGTCTCTCACGGCAAAGCCGACGTCGAAAAAGGCGGCACGCCCACGATGACCCTCGACGCCAAAGCCCTCGCAGCGCTCTACACGGGCTTCGCGAGCGCCCGCGACCTGCGCACGTACGCCGCGCTCTCGTGCGACGACGAGGCCACGCTCGTCACGTGCGACGCGCTGTTCCGCGGGCCGACGCCGGGGATGGGGGAGATGTTCTGAGTCACCGTCACACCCACACGACCTGAACACGCCCACCAATCCCCTGCGATTTCGCGCCGGGTATCATCCCGCCATGCTCACCCAGCAAGACCTCGCGATCGAATCCCTCGGCGACTGCGCCGTCGACTCGCCGCTCGGCGCGACGGGGCGTTCGTCGTTCGTGGACGACGCCGACGGTGTCCTCGTCGAGTCGCGCGTCCGTGCCGATGCGCCCCCGGCACCGCCCGTCGCCTACCAGCTCGCCGGCCCGCGACGAAAGATCTTCTTCGAACCCGCGAAGACCACGGCCGCCCTCGTGACCTGCGGCGGGCTCTCGCCCGGGCTGAATAACGTCATCCGCTCGGTCGTCCTCGAGCTCGCGCACGCCTACGGCGTGAGGCGAATCCTCGGGATCCGCAACGGTTACCGCGGCATCGATTCGGACGCCGCAGAGCCGCCGATCGAGCTGACGCCCCGCGCCGTCGCGGACATTCATCACGACGGCGGGACCATCCTGGCCAGCTCGCGCGGCCCCCAGGACCCGGAGACCGCCGTCGATTTCCTCGTATCCCAGGGCGTGGACATCCTCTTCCCCATCGGCGGCGACGGCACGCAGCGCGGGGCGCTCGTGCTCCAGCGAGAGATCGCGCGCCGGGGTCTTCCCATCGCGGTCGTCGGCATCCCCAAGACGATCGACAACGACATCCCACACGTCGCGCCGAGCTTCGGGTACGCGACGGCCCTGGAGGCCGCGTCGGACTGCATCCGCGGCGCGCACGTCGAAGCGACCGGTGCGCCCAACGGCGTCGCGCTCGTCAAGCTCATGGGACGCGACGCGGGGTTCATCGCCGCCGGCGCCGCCATCGTGAGCCAGGACGCGAACTTCGTCCTCGTCCCGGAGGTCCCCTTCCCGCTCGAGGGCGAGGGCGGGTTCCTCGAGGCGCTCGAGCGGCGCGTCCGCGAGCGGGGCCACGCCGTCGTGCTCGTCGCGGAGGGCGCCGGCCAGCACCTCTTCGATTCCGAGATCGCCGAGACCGACGAATCGGGCAACAAGCGCCGGTGGGACATCGGCGTGTTCCTCAAGGATCGCATCGCGTCCCATTTCGCCGCCAGATCGCTCGAACTCACGCTCAAGTACATCGACCCCAGCTACCTGATCCGGAGCTGCCCGGCGAACGCGTGGGACAAGTTCCTCTGCGACCGCATGGCCCGGGCCGCGGCCCATGCCGCGATGGCCGGCAAGACCGGCATGATGATCGGCGCGCGCACCGGTGAGGTCTACCACGTGCCGATCGCCCTCGTCGGGCGCGGCCCGGCGGTCCGGCTGGATGTCAACGGCGACGTCTGGAACGCCGCCCTCGCCTCGACCGGCCAGCCCCGCTGGGGTCAGCTCGGGCGCGCGTCCGGTGGCTGAGTCAGAAGACCTCGGGGACCGGCATCTCGCCGACGAGCGGGCGAAGCCAATCGACAAACGCGTCCGTCACGCCGAACGGCGTGGACCATTCTTCGGGCAGGTACCGCGTCTTCGCGGCCACGTCCGTCAGCTCGACGCGCCGGAAATCGCACGCGTACGCCGAATCCTCGCGTCGCACGAGCGCGATCGAGCCGTCCGAGTGCTCGCCCGACGCGGCCTGCTCGACCGCGAACTTCGCGGCGCCGTACGCCTCGCACTGGTCGACGGGTGAGGGGTCGGGGTAGCAGCGCTGGGCGTAGCCGAGCGTGTCGGCGCGGATGCGCGGCGCCTTCCCGCCCACGGGCTTCAGCGAGGACTTGAGGAGCTTGGCGAGCTCGTCGCCCAGGGCGCCGGTGCCGGAGAGCTGCACGTTGCCGTGCGCGTCGGTCTCGCCCTCGATGAGGGTCGCGCCGATCGGCCGGCCCTCGACGTCCTTTACGCCCTCGCTCACGGCGATCTGGCACCGCCCGTGCTTCGTGTAGATCTCGTCGACCTTCGCGATGAATTCGTCCTTGTTCGTCCGACGCTCCGGGATGCAGACCATGTGCGGCCCGTCGTTCTCGTCACGCCGCAGCAGCGCCGCCGCGCCCGTCAGGAACCCCGCGTGGCGGCCCATCACGACGTTGATCTTGATCCCGGGCAGCGCCCGGTTGTCCAGGTTGTCCCCCATGAACGCCTTGGCGACGTACCGCGCAGCGCTCGCGTAGCCGGGCGTGTGGTCGTTCATCATCAAGTCGTTGTCGATCGTCTTCGGCACGTGGAAGCATTTCATCTCGATCCCGCGCTTCTTCGCCCCCTCGTTCACGAGCCGGCACGTGTCCGAGCTGTCGTTCCCGCCGATGTAGAAGAAGTACCGGATGTCCTTCGCCACCAGCGCGTCGAGGATCTTCTCGCAATACTCGGCGTCCGGCTTGTCGCGCGACGAGCCGAGACCGGCGCTGGGCGAGTTCGCGATCCGCTCCAGCCGATCATCCGCGTACCCCTGCAACTCGAGGAACGAGTCCTCGATCATCCCGCGCACGCCGTGGCGGGCGCCGTAGACCTTTTCGCAGAGCCCGAGGTCCCTGGCCGTCCGCACGACGCCCACCACGGACTGGTTGATCACGGCCGTGGGCCCGCCCGACTGGGCGACCACCGCGTTGCCTTTGCCTGATGCCATTGTCGTCACACTCCCTCTGGGTGCTGAATCGTCGAGTCGCGTGGCGGTTCAGAGCCGCGAGGGCCCATGGTAGCGACGCGCCGTCGGCTGTCCCGCCGTACAATCGTGCCATGCTCCGACCCGTCGCACTGGTCCTGATGACGCTCCTCGCGGGCTGCGCCGCGAGCATCCCTGTCGAGGATCCGCCCGCCGTCACAGTGATCGACGCGTCGGACTACAGCGCCGTCTTCGATCACGCCAAGGGCGTCCTCCGCGAGGCGAACTTCACCATCGACCGTGTCGACGCCCGGCGGGGCATCATCACGACGCAGGCCGCGCCGTCCGTCGGGCTCATCATGCCGTGGCTCGGGCACCACCGATCGGCCGACGAGGCGTGGCAGGGCTTCATCCACCAGGAGCAGCGCCGCGCGACGGTGCTCTTCCAGGCCGCCGGGGGCGAACCGGCGGACCTCCGGGCGTGGGGCGGCCGGATAGACGTCCGCGTCCGGGTCGACGTCGAACGCGTCGAGCAGCCCATCAAGCGTCACGACGCCTCGGGCATCTTCTTCACGCACAGTTCCCCCAAACTGGAGAACGACCGCTCGATCGGGGGGACTCCGGTGGCGGTCACGCGTCGGACGGACGTGCCCTTCTCAGATTTTTTGGCCTCGGAAATCGCGAAGTTCGCTGAAAACGAACTGATTTTTGATTGAACTGAAATACCCTTCTCAGGCCGAAAAGAGCGTCGTTTGGCTCAAAAATGAGTCTGAAATCCGAAATTCATGATTCGATCTCGGGTGTCTTCGACCCGATGTATCGCCGAATAACCGGTGATCGTCTATTCAGGTGACACCTAAACTGGAGTATGCGTGAGTTCGCCGCACCCTGACCCTTCAGGTGCTACGCACCGCCCTTTCCATGACCGAAAGGCAAAAAATGGAACCCACACGCCCCCTGAGTGAGGCGGACCTGGTCGCGGTCGCGCACGTCGCGTCCAGCCTCGGACGGCTCAACGCCGTCCCGAGCGCCGACTGGGCCACCCCGGCCGCAACGATGCTCTCTCGATCCACACCAGGCACGGCCGTCGCCGTGACTGTGGCGGATTTCGATGACCTGGGCGTCATCACCAATCTGCTGAGCTGCGGAACCGCTGCACCGGGCACGGTCCGGCAGGATCAGCTCCAGGAGTTCATCGAGAGCAAACGCGATCTCTCGTCGCTGAACTGGTGGATCAAGACCGCGACCGCCACGGTCGTCGTCTTGAAGGACCTCGAATCGAACGCCACCTGGACCTCCAGCCGCGCCGGGAAAGCCTGGTCCCGACTGGGCGTTCGGCACCTCCTGGTGGGCGTCGCGAGCGTCCCGGGCCCGATCGACTCACGGTTCGCGATCGTCGAGATCGGCTCGCTGGCCTCTTCTGAGGCCCCGACCGAGGCGGACGCCACCCGGCTCCGCGCCCTGCTCCCGGTGCTCACGTCCCGCGTCCAGCTCGCGTTCAACACGCCCGAGACACGCGACACCATGGTGACCGCCCGCGAGCTCGAAGTCCTCGACCGCCTCACCATGGGGCGCAGCGTCAAGCAGATCGCCGAGGAGCTCGACCGCTCCGAGCACACGATCCACGACCACGTGAAATCGCTCCACCGCAAGCTGGGCGCGACGAGCCGAGGCGAGCTCATCGGGCGCGCCCTGGGCCACGTCGCTTCCACACCGGCGACGATGAACCAGGCCGCCGCCACAGCGAGCAGCGGGGCGGAGATCCGCATCAAACGGACGAGCGTCCCGACGATGAACTACTGACCCGAGCCCGGCGCGACGGCGCGGTATGCTCGGGCCCATGAGCACCGGCGACCCCGTCCGTATCGCGAAACAGAACGCCCGAACCGCCGCCCTGCTGGGCGTCCCGTTCGTGCCCGTGGCCATCGACGCCACCTCTGAGGGCGACGATTCGTCCGCGCCGAGCGGCGACAAGGCCGCCCGCCTCGCGGCGCTGCGGGATCGGTACGAGCGCGAGAGCACCGTCGCGAAATCGATCAGCGGGTGGACGAACATCGTCTTCGGCGACGGCTCGCCCGACGCGCCGCTCATGTTCATCGGCGAGGCGCCGGGCGCCGACGAGGACGCGCAGGGCATCCCCTTCGTCGGGCGCGCCGGCAAGAAGCTCAACGAGATGATCAGCGCGATGGGACTCGTGCGCGAGCGCGATACCTACATCGCCAACGTCCTGAAAGTGCGCCCGCCCGACAACCGCACGCCGACCCCGGACGAGGCCCGCGCCGACGGGCCCTTCCTGGTGGAACAGATCGGGATCATCGCGCCGCGCGTCATCGTCACCCTCGGCAAGCCCGCGGCCAACTTCCTGCTCGACAACACGAACACGATGAGCTCGATGCGCGGCGTGTGGCACGAGTTCAACGGCGTGCCCGTCATGCCGACGTACCACCCCGCGTACCTCCTGCGCGCCTACACGCCGGAGAACCGGAAAAAGGTCTGGTCCGACCTGCAGAAGGCGTTGAGCAAGCTTTCGTAAGCGGCCGGCGTGAGACGCGCGACGTCGCGGGACCCGTCGCGAAGTTCCCTGTTTTTGAAGGGTTTTCGCGGTTCTTCTCGCGTCGATCAAATTTTTTCCCGAGGACCTGAAACCGCGGAACCCGCGCTCCCAATGACCGTATACACACCTGAGCACCACGCGATGTGCTCGCACCAATCCCGACCCCCACGAGGCCCGGCGTCAGTTTTTCGAAACGACGCTGGGCTTTTTTCTTGCGCGCACAGGACTTACGCGCCGTCGCGCCAACGCCTACGCATCGCGTGGGGATTGCTTATTCGGGCGTTGATCCGGCCGTCGGGAGCGGCGTGAAATCCAGCTCGGTCTCGTCCGGCAGACGCTCGATCGACGTCGCCCGGAACCCGAGCAGCCGATCGTTGACCTCGTCGTAATCAACCGTGAACGTAATCGACACCTTGTCGTCCACGCCGATGCCGCTCAGCTCGACGCTTTCGCCGAGCGGGAACGCCATGTTCATCACGTTCATCCCGACCTCGCCGCCCTGGCTCCGGAACTCCGGGATCGCCTCGTGGCGCGCCTGGAAGCCGGACATCGGGTTGTCGGCGGTGGGCACGGACGTCACGATCCCGCGGACCGTGTACGTATCGACGATCACACCCTCACGCGCGGCGGGCGGCGTGCTCTCCGTGGATTCTGTGGTCTCGGGCGTCTCGGTCTCGCCGCAGCCGGTCAGCACCGGCAGGCACGCGACCGTCGCCAGCAGGAGTCGCCGGGGCACGGCTCAGGCGGCTTCGACGTTGAGGTAGTCCGAAACGGCGCGGAAGTCGTTTGCGAGCTGGGGGATGTACGTCATCGTCCAGCTCGCGCCCTCGATGGCGTGCGCCCCCTTGCCGGACTTCTGGCGGACGGCCCACGGACGCTTGCCGCGACTGCGCACGAGAAGGTTCCGCATGCGGTATTCCTGCGACTTCTTCAGGCGGCGCTTGATGTCCGGGTCCTGACGCATCAGGCGGACGATGGTCTGCGCGTCGTCCTCGCGGGACACGTTGCGCGTCACAGTGCAGCGGATGGTCTGGCCGGGTTTGATGTTCTCGAGCATCGAAGCGCCCTTTGTCGCAATTCTCACGTCGTTCTCATGGCGTCCGCCTGACCCACCAGGCGGAGCGCGGCCGAGGATCATATCAGATCGACCACGCCCGTGCGAGCCCGACGCCTCCCCTTCACGCCCTCGAATCGACCCCGATCCGCGGATTTCGAGCGGCGATGCCCCTCCCGGCACGCTACAGTCATACTCCGCACCGAAACCGACCGCACGATCGATATCCAAAGGACCCTCCCGTGGACCAGACACCCCCTCCCGGCACCCCCGGCACCCCCGGAAACCCCAACCCCGGCAACCAGCCCCCCGCGATCCCCTTCGACGCGAGCAAGCCGCACCACAACACGCCCAAGGTCCGCCCGATCCAGGCCCAGGCCGTCAAACAGGGCGAGCAGGTCATGCTCGCCCTGGGCGACCCCCGCCGGATCACCAACCGCATGATCTTCGCCTCGCCCGCCGTCCAGCACCTCCTGCCCGCGATGAACGGCCAGAAGGACGTGGACACGATCGTCGCCGAGATCGGCCGGGGCCTCACCCGCGAGACGCTCGAGCAGCTCATCAGCCAGCTCGACACCGCCGGCCTGCTCGAGGGCCCGAACTTCGACAAGATCGTCGAGGAGATGAAAGCGGAGTTCGACAAGACGGAGAACCTCCCGCCCGCGTCCACCGCGATGTTCGCCGACGCGCTTGTTGCGCAGGCGGTCGGCGAGGGCGTGACCGAGGCGCAGAAGAAGGAGCAGGGGGGCGAGAAGCTCGCCGAGGCCTTCGAGGCCTGGATCGCCCAGTCGCTCAAGCCCGTCGAGGACCCGAGCTTCGACAAGCTCCCCCGCGCCATCTTCGTCCCGCACCTGGACTACCCCCGCGGGTGGCACAACTACTCCCAGGCGTACGGCCGCCTCCGCGTGGTCGACCGCCCGACGCGCATCGTCATCCTGGGCACGAATCACTTCGGCATGGGCACGGGCGTCGTCGGCTGCGACAAGGGCTACGAGACCCCCCTCGGCGCTTGCCCGCTCGACGAGGACTTCCTCGTCCTGCTCAAGGGCAAGCTCGGCGATGAGAACTCCGAGAAATTCCTCGCCAACCGCTACGACCACGAGCGCGAGCACTCCATCGAGCTGCACATCCCGTGGATCCAGCACATTTTCGGCGCGGACGCCTCCGGCAACCACATCCCCGTCTTCTCCGCGCTCGTGCACGACCCGATGCGCAACAACGGCGAGTCGTACGACGGCTCAGGCCTCGCGCTGGAGCCCTTCGTCGAAGCGCTCCGCGAGACCATCGCCGAGTCCGACGGCAACACCCTCATCGTCGCGAGCGCCGACCTCTCGCACGTCGGCCCCGCCTTCGGCGATCAGGTCAAGATCTCCGCGAAGGACGAGGACGAGAACGCCAAGGAGTTCCGCGACAAGGTCATCAAGCACGACCAGGACATGCTCAAGCTCGTCGCCGAGGGCAAGGGCCCCGAGCTCGTCAGCTCGCTCGCCTGGCAGCAGAACCCCACCCGCTGGTGCTCCGTCGGCAACATCGTCGCCACGATCATGGCCACCGAGGCCGAGCAGGTCCGCCTGCTCTCCTACGCCGGCGCCGGCGACCAGAACTCCGGCTCGATGGTCACCTCCTTCGCGGGCGTCATCGACTGATCCGACATCCCAACCGGGGGTGAGGAGCGCACGCATGGCCGATTCCCTCTCCCGACGCTCGTTCATCGCCACCTCCGCCGCCGCGGGACTCGCGCTCGGCGCGTCGTCGCGCGCCAAGGCCCAGCCCGCGAAGATCCGCGCCGGCGGCGCGCCCGTCGCCATCGCCTCCGGCAACGGCCGGAGCGCCACCAAACGCGCCTACGAGCTGCTCCGCGAGGGCGCGGACACGCTCGACGCCATCGTCGCCGGCGTGAAGATCGTCGAGGACGACCCGAACGACATGACCGTCGGCTACGGCGGTCTGCCCAACGAGGACTGCGTCGTCCAGCTCGACTCCTCCGTCATGCACGGCCCCACGCACCGCGCGGGCGCCGTCGCGTGCCTGGAGAACATCAAGAACCCCGCCGCCGTGGCGCGCGAGGTCGCGCGGCGCACCGACCACTGCATCATCGTCGGCGCCGGTGCGCTCCAATTCGCCAAGCAGCTCGGCTTCAAGGAAGAGAACCTGCTCACCGAGAAGGCCCGCCAGGCGTGGCTCCGCTGGCGCACTCGCCTCAACAAGGACGACGACTGGCTCGACGACGACCAGCTCGACATCCCCCTCGAGCCGGGCCAGGAGATCAGCTTCGACGCCAACGGCGTCCCGCACACCTACGGCACCATCCACTGCTCCGCGCTGGACGCCAACGGCGACCTCTCGGGCTGCACCACGACCTCCGGCCTCTCCTGGAAGATCCCCGGCCGCATCGGGGACTCGCCCATCATCGGCGCGGGCTGCTACACGGACAACGCCGTCGGCAGCGCCGGCGCGACCGGCCGGGGAGAAGCCGTCATCCAGGTCTGCGGCGCGCACTCGGTCGTGTCGCGCATGGAAGCGGGGGACACGCCCGAGGAGGCGTGCCTCCACGTCCTCAAGAAGATCGCGGACAAAACCAAAGTCAAGCGTCTGCAAAACGCGCACGGAGAGCCGAACTTCAACGTCACCCTCTACGCCCTGCGCAAAGACGGGATGTTCGGCAGCGCCTGCCTCCGCAAGGGCGGCTCGTTCGCCGTGACCGACGCCGAGGGCACGCGCCGGATCGACTCGACGTTCCTCTTCGGCGATTCATGACCCTCCCGAACCGGTACCACCGCCAGACGCTCCTCCCAGACTTCGGCGAAGCGGGTCAGGCGAAACTCGCGGGCGCGCACGCCGCGATCGTCGGCGTCGGCGCGCTGGGCACGACCAGCGCCCAGCTCCTCGCCCGCGCGGGCGTCGGCCGCGTCACCGTCATCGACCGCGACGTCGTCGAGCCGACCAACCTCCAGCGCCAGACGCTCTACACCGAGGCCGACGCGACCCAGGGTGTGCCGAAGGCCATCGCCGCGGAGCGCGCCCTCCGCGCGATGAACTCCGAGATCGAGATCGTCGCGCACGCCGCGGACTTCACCAGCGCCAACGCCGCGAAGCTCCTCGGCTTCGGGTCGGATGCGCCGCCGCACGTCCTTATCGACGGCACGGACAATCTCCACACCCGCTACCTGCTCAACGACCTCGCGATCCGCGAGGACGTCCCGTACGCCTACGCCGGCGCGGTGGGCACGAAGGGGATGCTCCTGACCGTCCTCCCGGGCGAGACGCCCTGCCTGCGCTGCCTCTTCCCCGACCTGCCCGACCCCGGGACCGTCGCCACCTGCGACACCGCCGGCGTGCTCGGGCCGCTCGTGGCCGCCGTCGCCTCCCTCCAGGCGGCCGAGGCGCTGAAGATCCTGCTGGGACGAACCGACCTCGTCGCGCGCACGATGCGGTCGTTCGATCCCTGGGAGAACACGTGGCGCGAGATCGATCTCTCGTCCTCCCGCGACCCCGCGTGCCCGTGCTGCAGTTTGCGGAAATTCGAGTTCGCGGACGGTGCCGTTGAAATCCCCGGAGCGAAGCTCTGCGGGCGCAACGCCGTGCAGATCGCCCCGCCAACGGTCGGCCGATCGATCGATCTCTCGGTGATGGAATCCAAACTCCGCCCGCTGGGCGAGGTGACGGCGAACGCGTTCCTGCTCCGCTGCGCCCTCCGCGACGAGCCCCTCGAGCTCACCCTCTTCCCGGACGGACGCGCGATCATCGCCGGGACCGAGGACGAATCCCGGGCCCGCTCGGTCTACGCGAAGTACGTCGGCGGCTAGGCGAACTCCAAAAACGAAACGGGCCCGCCTCCGAAGAAGCGGGCCGTTCAAAGTGCTCGGGAGAGGACTCGAACCTCCACCCTGTTGCCAGGACTAGCACCTCAAGCTAGCGCGTCTACCAATTCCGCCACCCGAGCAGGGTGTTTCCGGCCGCGTCGCCTGGGGTGCGTCTGGGCCGAGACGCGGAAACGTAGCAGATGCTCCGCCCGATTTCCAGCCCGCACAGTCTCAAGCCCGCTCCGGCCCGCTATCCTCCCCCCGATGCCCCCGAACGCGACCGAACCCCCGCGCGACGCCGTCGTCCTGCTCTCCGGCGGCCTCGACTCCGCCACCTGCCTCGCCATCGCCCGCGAACGCGGCCGGCGCGTCCACTGCCTCAGTTTCAACTACGGCCAGCGCCACACCTTCGAGCTCGAGGCCGCCAGACGCATCGCCCTCCACCTCGGCGCCGAAAGCCACCAGACCGCCACGATCGACCTCCGCGCCTTCGGCGGCTCGGCCCTCACGAGCGACACGCTCGACGTCCCCAAGGACCGCGAGCCGGCGGACGACATCCCCATCACCTACGTCCCCGCGCGCAACACCATCTTCCTCGCCTACGCCCTCGCCCTCGCGGAAGTCACGGACGCCGCGGAGATCTACATCGGCGTCAACGCGATCGACTACTCCGGCTACCCGGACTGCCGCCCCGCGTTCATCGAGGCGTTCCAGCGCACCGCCGACCTCGCCACCCGCGCGGGCGTCGAGCACCACGGCCCGCGCATCGAGACGCCGCTCATCGAGCTGACCAAGGCGCAGATCATCGAAAATGGCCTCGCCCTGGGTGTCGACTACGCCATGACGCACTCGTGCTACGACCCGGACCCCACCGGCCGCCCCTGCGAGCACTGCGACGCCTGCGTGCTCCGCATGCGGGCCTTCGAGTCGCTCGGCATGACGGACCCGCTCCTCGCCGCGTTCAGCTGAGCCACCGCCCGCCGTCCACGCGGATGATCTGCCCCGTCAGGTAGTGCGCGTCCATCGCGAGCCAGCGCACGCACTCGGCCGCCTCCTCCGGCGTGCCGGAGCGACCGACCGGGACGCGCTTGAGGTACGCCTCGCGGGTTTCCTCCTGGTCCTCGTCCCCCTCGTCGGGCCACTCCACGACGCCCGGCGCCACGCCGTTGACGCGGACCTTCGGCGCGAGCTCCCGCGCGAGCGTCCGCACCATTTCCAGCAGCGCGGCCTTGCTCATCGAGTAGGCGCTGAAGCCTTTGCGCGGGCGGCCCATAACGTGGATGTCCACCATCGCAACGACCGACGCGCCGTGCGCCAGCACGGAACGATCCAGATTGGGGCGGAACGCCTTCGTGATGAGCAGCGGGGCGAGCGCGTTGATATTGAATTGCGCGAGCGCGAACGCCGGCGTCACCTCACCGAGCGGGCTCGGGGCGTACACCGACGCGTTGTGCACCAGCACGTCGAGCCGCCCGTGCTCGCTCGACAGCTTCCCCGCGAGCCGCGCGACGTTCCCCGGGTCGTCGAGCGGGAGCGAGCTGATCGTGCACGACCGCCCCATCGACTCGACCTCGGCCCTGAGCGACTCCGCCTCGCTCTCGGACGAGTTGTAGGTCACAAGCAGGTCGCACCCCGAGCGCGCCAGAGCGAGGGACGTCGCCCGCCCGACGCGCTTCGCGCCGCCGGTCACCATCGCGAGGGGGGCGGGGTCAGTCACGGCGCGCGTCGCCTTCGTCGTCGATGGGCTCGGCCCGCTGCCCGGCGACGGACCACGGGCTCTCCACCGGGCCGCGCTCCGGCGCGTTCTTCTCGTCGCGGGCCGCGGAGCGTCGGTGCGCGATGCGCAGCACCGTGATCCCGATCAGCCCGAGCAGCGCGAGCAGGATGGCCGCGAGCACCGCGAGCATCACGCGGGCCTTCCCCTCGGCCGGGAGTTCCTCGGCGGGGGCGGCGGTCGAGAGGACGTTGAAGAGGTCTTCGATCACACCGAAAGCATACACACCCCGAAAATCGCCCTCCAGAGCCGGAAACCGCGAAGGGTCGAACCACTGTTGAACACGATCCGTACAGACGGTCAGGTCGGGCCGCTCCCCGTGAGGTTTTGCACGAATCGGGCGAGCGGCGCGTCACCGATGGTCGAGACAACCATATCGTTCATCGGCCACAGGATTTCCCCCTCCGCGTTTTCGGACTTCCGGGACGCGGGAACACGACGGCCCGCCCGTCGGTTGACATTCAGGACGCGTGCCGGCGCGACGGTCTTCAGGACGCCCGGCCAAGCCATGGAAGGATGCACTCCGTGCGATACATCTCGACGCTGCTCGCCGCCTCGCTCGCTCTCCTCGCCTCCGCCGCGCCGCACGCCGACGCGAACGGGGCCTCCGAGGGGGCGAACAACGCCGTCCTCTGGACGGAGGCGATCCGGGGCACAAGCCTCGACCCGCTCTCGCTCTTCGAGGCGCAGGAGATCCCCGAGACCCTCCGCGACGACGTCGACCGCTTCCGCAACAACATCGCCCAGCGCGAACGCGACCGGGAAGCCCGGATCGCCGAGGTTCACGACGAGCTCGACGAGCACCTCGAAGCCGGCGAGATCAAGCTCGCGCTCAACAGCGCGATCGAGCTCGAGGCCCTCTCGCTCGATTCGGCGAAGCTCCTCGAGAGCGAGGCCATCGCCGGCCTCGTCAAGAAGGCCGAGGCCGCCGCGCACGACGCGGAAAACGAGGAACGCTGGCTCGACGCCCACGGGCTCTTCTACCGCCTGAACCTGCTCTACTCGGACTCGGACCGCTACGACGACGACGCGGAGCGCCTCGCGAAGCGCCTCATCCTGCTCGGGCTCTACACGCCGCGCCGGCTCCACGAGCTGAACAACGCCGCCCGCCTCGCCGAGGGCGAGGACGAGCTCCCCCCCTTCAACGACTCGACGGACGACTGGTCCGAGCGGCTCAAGGGCATCGAGGACGTCACCATCCTCCGCGCCATCCTCCAGGCCGAGAACAAGCACATCAACCGCACGTCGTTCGCCAAGATGGCCCACGGCGGGCTCGAGTCCCTCCGCCTGCTCGCGACGACCTCGGACCTCGCCTCCGTCTTCCCGAGCATCGTCGACGAGCAGAAGCGCGCCGAATTCATCGCCTTCATCGACGAGGCCGAGCGCGAGCTCGACGAGGCCGCCGCCCGGTTCGATTTCGGCGACACGCGGCGCATGCTCCGCCAGCTCCGCAGCACCAACCGGCGCACGATCGACGTGCCGGACATCGTGCTGCTCCACGAGTTCGGCAACGGCGCGATCGGCGAGCTCGACGAGTTCTCCTCGCTCGTCTGGCCCTACGAGACCGAGCGCCTGAGCCGAACGACCGAGGGCAACTTCAAGGGCGTCGGCATCCAGATCCAGCTCGACGAGCAGCAGCAGCTCAAGGTGGTCGCGCCGCTCTTCGGCACCCCCGCCTACCGAGCCGGCATCAAGCCGGATGATTTCATCCGAAAGATCGACGGCGAGTCCACCCAGGGCATCACCGTCAGCCAGTCCATCGAACGCATCACCGGCGAGCAGGGCACGACCGTCACCCTCTCCATCGAGCGCGAGGGCGTCGAGGGCCTGCTCGACTTCGACATCGAACGCGACGTCATTGACATCCACACCGTCCGCGGCTGGGAACGCTCCGGCCCGGACGAGGAAGACTGGGACTGGTTCATCGACCCCGAGAGCCACATCGGCTACATCCGCCTGATGGAGTTCGGCAAGGACTCCTCCGCCGAGATCCTCCGCGCCGTCCAGGACATGAAGCAGGACGGCCTCGAGGGGCTCATCCTCGACCTCCGCTACAACCGCGGCGGCCTGCTCGACGAGGCCGTCGAAATCGTCGGCTTCTGGGAAGAGTCCGCCATCGTCGTGACGCAGGAAGACGCGGTCGGCGAGGTGCAGGCCAAGCAGCGCACCCGCGGGCGAATGGGCCTGCTCCAGGACGTGCCCACCGCCGTGCTCATTTCGGGCGGCTCCGCGTCCGCGTCCGAGATCGTCGCCGGCGCCCTGCAGGACTACGGCAAGGCCCTCGTCGTCGGCGAGCGCTCCTACGGCAAGGGTTCCGTGCAGGTCGTCTTCTCGCTCGGCGGCGATTCGCTCTTCCGCCTCACGACGCAGTACTACCGCCTCCCCGGCGGTCGCCTCATTCACCGCTCCCTCGATCACGAGGACGGCAGCTGGGGCGTCGAGCCGGACGTGGCCGTCGAGATCCTGCCCGAGCAGCTGGGCGACGCCCTCACGACCCGCCAGCAGGCGGACATCGTCGAGTTCGACGCCGACGGCAACGTGATCGACAACCCCGACCGCCCGCGCCCCGAGGCCCTCATCACCGAGGGCATCGACCCGCAGCTCGAAGCGGCGCTGCTCCTTCTGCAGACCAAGGTCACGCCCTTCCGCTCCGAGGTCGTCGAGGCGCCCGCCGAGGTCGTGACGCAGTAATCCGATCATGCATCCAGAATCTCCCTTGAACGGGCCCGCATCCGCGCGGGCCCGTTTTTCATGGAATCGCGCAGGTTCTGCCGACGCAGAGTTGAGATGTCCGACTCCCCCGATCGCATCCTGGTCATCGTCGACGGCTCGCTCAGCGCCCTCGTCGGGCTCGCGCTCGCCGGGCAGAGCGGGACGCCCGTCGCCTGGGTCCCACCCGTCGGGGCGGACATCGGCGACGGCGCCATCGGCAAGCACCACCTCGCCGCGGTGCGGACACAGCTCGAGCGGCTCGAGATCGACCAGGTCGTCTTCCCGCCGGACGACACCGCCGCGCCCTCCGAGCTGGGCGAGCGGGCCCTGGGGACGAACACGTCGGTCTCCCTCGCGCTCGTGCGGGCGGCGCACGACGCGTTCCAGCTCCGCTGCCGCTCGATCCTCTGGCCCGCCTGCGCCGGGCACTCGCTCGACGAGGCCTTCAAGATCACCGAGCTCGCCAACCTAGTCACGCGGATCGTCGCCCTGGACCAGCCGGGAACGCTCAAGGACGTCGACCTCGCCGTCAAAACGCCCCTCGCGGACATGACCCGCGACCAGGTCGCCGACCTCGCCTACGACCTCGACGTCCCCGTCGAGTGCTGCTGGTCGATGAAGATCCACCCCGACCGCCTCCCGCAGAACCTCGTGCCCACCCAGAAGGCCTGGCACGACGCGATCATGCTCGCCGCCCGCATGCGCGGCTGGGAGGCCACCGTCACCCTGCCCACGCAGGACGGGCTCCCCGCGCCGGGCAACGCCTACGCCTGAAAAATTCTGACCGGTGCGTGGAATCGCGGATCGCCAGTGCCCAACAATTGTTTGTGCAGACTAACAAAGGAGGCGACCCATGACGTCCACCAGGATCCGCATCGGCTTGTCCATCCTCTACGGCCTCTGGGCGGGGTTCTGGCTCTGGTTCTCCGCCGCGTCGATCATCGGCGGCGAGACCGGCGCTCTCGGGCACCTCGCGATCCCGGTCGTGCCCATCCTCGTCGCGACCGTGCTCCTCGTGAAGCGCCCGCGTCTCGGCGGGCTCTTCCTGATCGCGTCGGCGGTCGCCGGGGCGTGGTTCTTCCAGGGGGCCCAGGCGTGGGCGTACCTCTGCGCGCCGGCGCTGATCATCGGTCTCGGCTTCGCGACCCTGCCCAGCACGGAGAAGCCCAAACCCGACTGATTGCGTCTGAGCGGGGCCCTCGCTACACTGCTCGGCTCGATTCCGCGCCCGGGAAGGGTCGGCGGATGGGCCATTTCCTCGAATCCGAGCCCGAGAAACGGGCGGGAGCCTGAGCCATGTACGCGATCATCGAAGATTCCGGCACGCAGATCAAAGCCTCCGAGGGCGACGTCCTCACCCTGGACATCCGCGAGCTCCCCGACGACGCCAAGACGGTCACGTTCGACCGCGTCCTGCTCATCGGCGGCGACGGGAAGTCCACGATCGGCCAGCCCTACGTCGACGGCGCCTCCGTCACCGCGGAGATCATCGACCGCGAGTTCAAGGGCGAGAAGATCGACGTCATCAAGTTCAAGCGCCGCAAGGGCTACAAGGTCAAGCAGGGCCACCGCCAGCGCTACATGAAGGTCAAGGTCAGCTCCATCACGGGCTGAGACCGACACCCGATTCAAAGGTACAAGGCACGGGCCACTCGCCCGTGCTTTTTTCTTGCGCCCCCCGGACCCCCCCGGACCCCCCCGGCCCCCCCGGAAGGAATTCAAAGATGCACCACCGCTCGCTGCTGGTCGGGCTCCTCGCGACGATCGCACTCGGCGCACTCGGGCTCGCGAGCGCGCAGAATGGCGGCGATATGACCGACACCACCGTCGTCTACCTCGTCCGCCACGCCGAGAAGCTCGCGGGGCGCGACCCGTCGCTTTCGGACGCCGGCGCCGAGCGAGCGAAACGGCTCGCGACGATGCTCCGCGACGAGCCCATCGCCGCCGTCTTCGTGACGGACACCAGCCGCTCCCGCGAGACCGCCGCGCCGCTCGCGGAGGCGAAGGGCATCGGGCCGACCACCTACGCCCCGATGGACGGCCCCGCCCTCGCCCGGCGCATTGCGGCCCTGGGCGAGCGAGGCGACAGCCTCGTGGTCGCGCACTCCAACACGGTGCCGATCATCCTCAAGGCCCTGGGCGGCCCGGCCCGAGCGGAGCTCCGCGAAGAGGACGAGTACGACCTGCTCTGCGCGATCGTCCTCCGCGACGGCCAGTTCGTCCGGGCGCTGAACTTGCGGTACTGATCCCGGCTACGGGCCGAACGGCCCGCGGTCGAGCCTTCCGCGGTTGCCCCGGAGCCCGCTCACGCTCTCGGCGTTGGTCACGCCCGAGGCGAAGGGGCGCAGACGCGTCTCGCTCCCGAACCCGACGGGCCGCATCGAGACGCCGAAGCCGACGTTGTCCGTGATGTTGTCGAGGTCGATCACGACCTCCATCGTCCACTGCGCGAACCGCCGCTCGACGAACGCGCTCACGGACTGGAACCGGTCGCGACGGAAGTCGTAGTTCCCCGCGAGCCCCAGGGCGTACTTGGTGGTGATCTCGTGCCGCCCGCCCACGCGCAGGAACGCCGCGTCGATCGGGTCGTGCTCGCGGTACTCCGCGAAGGTCGCGAAGCCCTCGCCGTGGTCGAGCTCCGCGCCGACGACGTTCTGCGAGACGCGCCCCTCGTCGGTGTCGAACTGGATGTCGTTGATGATCGCGAGCGAGTCGCTCACGTTCCACACCGTCTCGTTCCGGAAGAACCGCCCCAGGTTCGAGTGCTCGGGCCGGTAGCTGTAGTAGCGGCCGAAGGGCGACTCGGGGTCCACCTCGTTGCTCGACCACTGGTAGGTCGACCGCATCACGATCCAGTCCACGCTCCGCTTCCGCCCCGCCGCGCCGCGCATCGTCTGGAACGTGTTGAGCACGCCCACCTGGAACGCCGTGCCGTCGGCGATGGACTCGACGCCGTCGTCGTACACCGGCAGCTCGTCCTGGCGGACGCTCGTGGAACTCGTCCACACGTTCGCGGACGGTTCGATGATGTGCCGGAGCCGGTGCGCGTCGAGCATCTCGGAGCTGAACCCCTCGTACACCTTCTGCATCGACGTGCTCAGACGGAGGCCCGTGGCGCCCCAGAGGCGGTAGTCCTCGTTGTCCACGCCGTTGAACGAATCGAAGTTCGAGTCCCACGCCGTGACGCGCCCCGTGGCGTACGGCACGACGTTGAACACGCCCGCGCGCAGCGGGACCTCGATCTCGTGACGCGAATCGAACCGCGCGACCTCGTCCTCGGTGAACCCGGCCGTCCGCAAGGAATCCGCGAGCGACTGCGTCGGCAGGAGGCCGAAGGCGCTCTGAGAGCGTCGCGGCGTGTTGAAGCCCTGCTCGCTCGCGTCCGGCTCGTTGAAGTTGAGCCGGAGCAGGCCGATCCGCGAGTCGCTGGAGTAGCTCACCAGGTCGCCGAAGAGGTTGTCCGAGAGCCGGGCGTACCGCGCCTCGGGCAGCCGCTCGGTCTGGTAGCCCAGGGACTGGAGCAGGTACTCGTTCGCGATGAAGTCGTTGAACGACGCGCGCCCCTCGAGCGTGAAGACGGACTGCTCGTCGAGGTACCGCGCGAGCACGGAGTTGGTGAATTCCCGGCGCGTCTCGGCCTCCTTCTCGAAGAACGCGTCCACGAACGTCTCGTCGGAGATGTACGAGAGCTCAGTGAAGAGCGTCCAGTCGGTGTTGAGCCGCCAGATGTTCTCGCCCAGCACCAGCCCGCGGTGCTCGGAGTCGGGGTCGATGTTCGCGCCGCTCGTCAGCTCGTCCTCGCCCTCGGTGTAGGCGTAGTACCCGAAGAACGAGCCCTCGAAATCGTCGGTGTCCCAGACGATGTCGACGCCAGCGCCCACGCCGCGCTCGAGGTAGCCGTCGAGCAGGAAGCTCGCCTCGGTGCCCTCGGGCGACTCGACGCCCAGGAGCGTGAACAGGTCCCACTCGGTGCGGAGGACCGCGCTGCCGCCCTCGCGCCCGCCCGAGACGCGCCGCAGCGGGCTCGCCTTCGCGTCGCCACGCACGCGCGGGAGCGTCAGCAGGGGGGACTCGCCGATCTTGAAGCCCACGCCCTCCGCGTCCACGCGCGTCCGCGATCCGCTCTCGCGCCGCTCGCGCGTGATCGTGATGTCCGTCGCGCCGATCGCGAAGTGCGGCTCCGCGAACGACACGTTCGTCAGCTCCGCGTTCCGCGCCCGCCACTGGTCGATCGAGAGCTGCCGGATCCGCTCGGCCCGGAACACGATCGGGTTCCCCAGCGCCTCCGGGTACGCCTTGAACACCCCGTCCACGATCACCCCGCGCTCCGTCGCGATGTCGTAGAACACCTTGCGCGCCCGCATCGACTGCCCCTCCGCGTCGATGCTCACGCCCCCCTCGAGGTACACGCCGACGATGTCCTGCGTGTCGTAGCTGAACCGGCCCTGCTCCGCGTCCGCCTTCAGGAAGACCACGGCGCTGTCCGCCGTCAGCTGCACCGCCTGCGGGCGGTCCGTGAAGCGGTACTGGATCACGAACCCGCCCTGCAGCAGCACGACCGGCCCGCCGCCCCCCGCGCCCTGCGCGCGGTACTCGATGTCCGTCGCGTCGATCGTCACCGTCCCGCGCTCCGGCTGGGTGATCGGCCCCTGCGCGCCCCGCGGCACGCTCTCGCGCGGGTCCTCGTCCATCCACGCGGGGCGCTCGGAGACCGCGGCGATCCGTTCCGGCTGGGTTCCTTCGTCGCGGATGACGTCCACCGTGTCCCGCGTCGCGACGTCCATCGGGTCGCGCGGCCCCCGGGGCTCGGCCGGCTCGGCCGCCGGGCTCAGGAGCTGCGCCAGGTGACGCGCGAACCGCGCCTCGCCGGCGTTCACGCGCGCGAGCGGCGCCGGAGCCGTCGGGCGGCCGTCGAGCCGGAGATCCAGCGCGAGCCGCGTCTCCACGTCGTACGTCACCGCCGTCACGAGCAGCGACTCGGCCTTCTGGTCGATCCCGAAAGCCTGCGACGGGCTCGAGACGTCCGTGAAGTACGCCGCGACCTGCATCGCGTCGCGGCCGCCGACCTGGATGAGCTCGAGCCAGACGACGGCGCTGCTCGCGCGGAAGGTGTACAGGCCGATGGTGACCTCGGCGTCGGCCTCGAGGAGGAGCCGGAGCGTCCCCGCCTCGCGCCAGGTGTGGCCTCGGACGGCGCTGAAGCTCATCCCGTACGTCTCGATCGGCTGGGGCAGGTTCACGCCCGCGAACCCGCGCCCGTCGAGATCCTGCGGGATCGGGGCGTCCGCCTGCCGGGCGACGGCGGGCGTCGCGACGCTCAGCACGCCCGCGAGCAGCGCGAAGAGCGGCCGACGGGTTCGGCGCCGGCGGAGTGGGGGGCGCGGGGGTGTCATCCGGGTGGGCTCGTCGGGGCGTGACAAGCCCGGATGCTACGGCTCGGGCTCGCCGCGCTCAACTGTTCGGGCTTCAGCGGTACGACGCGAGCGTCCGGGCGATCGCCGGCTCGATCGGCGTGAGCGCGAACTTCGGCCACACGCGCCGCAGCCGCGTGTCGTCGAGCAGCACGCCCTCCTCCCAGAGGTATTTCAGCTCGATCAGCTCCTTGAGATCCTTGTTCACGAGCCCCGCCCCGCGCAGCGCGAGCCAGGACGACTTCTTCACCTTGAGCGAGTCGTCCTCGGCGCACTCGATGACCTTGCCGTAAAAGTCCTGCTGCCGCTCGAACGTGTGCCCCGCGAAGTGGAACGTCTCGAAGGGCACGAGCCGCTCGATCGCGTCGCTGAGCTTGATGCACACCCGGGCCAGGTCCGGCACGTACGCGAACTGGTGCGGCGCGTCGAGCGAGCCCAGCGCGAGCAGGCCCTTGCCCTCCATCGCGGATTTGAAGATCCCGTCGTGGTATGCGTTCCGCACCGTCGGCCCGAAGAGGTCACCCGATCGCACGATCAGCACCCGCGCGTCGCCCCGCTTCGTCGCCTCGCGGAGGCGCTCCTCCAGCTCGAGCCGGAGCCGCCCCTTCTTCGAGTCCGGGTGCGTCTCGGCGATCTCCGCCAGACGCGAGCCGTGCTGCGGGCCGAAGCTCCACACGTTGCCCGGGAAGACGATCGCCGCGCCCGCCTCTTTCGCGCAGGCGACGATGTTCTCCGTCGCCACCCGCATCGCCGGGTCCTGCTTGCTCATCGGGAAGCCCACGGCGTGGTAGATCACCGAGCACCCGCGGGCCGCCTCGCGGAGCGAATCCGGGTCGAAGACGTCACCCTCGTGGAAGTTCGCCTTGGTGTAGCTCCCGAACCGGCGCACGGCCTCCGGCACGTCGCGCACCAGCGCCCGGACGGGCCGCCCCTGCTCGACGTGCTCGTTCACGATCCCCGCGCCGAATGATCCCATGCCCCCGATCACGAGCGCCGTGCGCTGCTCGCGCGACGACACCCGCTCGCGCTTCTTCTTCGTGAGCGATCCGAGATCCGGGGCCCTGGGTGTCTCGGCCATGGGGCCCCAGTCAACGGGCCGGCGCGTCCCGCGTCAAGCGGATCGGGACACGCGAGCGCCCGAACAAAGTTTTTTCAACAATATTCGGCGACCACTTCTTATGATGCGTCGCATGCACGAGCCGCACTCTTCCGAACACAACTCCGCCGGAGCCGTCGCCTGCGTCGTCTGCGGCGCCGACCTGGCCGGCCTCGCGCCCGAAGACACCTGCGACGGCTGCGGGCAGCCCGTGAGCAACTCCACCCAACGGGCCGAGCGGCTCGCCCCGCAACCCGTTGCCGCCCCGACCGCCGATCTCGTCCCGGACGGGCTGCTGTGCATCACCTGCCGCACGCCGATCGGCGGACGCGCGATCACGGAGCACTGCACCGCTTGCGGGACCCACGTCGGCTGCTCGATGCCGGACGAGCGGCTCGCGGACATCCCCGCCGAGCGGGTCCCGTGCCGCGTCTGCGGCTACGACCTCACCGGCCTCACCTTCGCGGACGTCTGCCCGGAGTGCGGCACGCCCGTGCCGTCGTCGCACATGGAGGCGTCGCTCGCCACCGCCCCGCGCGAGCAGGTCTTCCGGGTCTCCCGCGGGCTGGCGATGGTCTTCTGGCTCGCCATCCTGGGCTTGCTCATCGGGCCGCTCACGCTCGCGCTCTCGGGTTTCGGCGCAACCGCCGGGGCCTCTCCGGTCTCGCTCGTCATCTCAACGGTGTTCTCGATCGCCGGCTTCTACGCCTGGATCCTCGCCACCACGCCCCTCACCCGGATGCCCAACGAGCGCGGCAACCGGCTGCTGCGCATCTGGCTCCTCTCGCTTCTGGGCGTCGGCGTGCTCTTCGGCGTGCTGAGCTCGGTGATCGCCACGATGACGGCGGGCCGGCCGCCCGGCTCGGCCGGGATGCTCATGCTGCTGACGCTCCCGGTCTCGATCATCGGCGGCCTCTCGTCCGTCGCCCTGTTCTTCATCCAGCTCGTCTACCTCCGCCGCATCGCGTCGTTCATGCCCTCGCGCACCCTCGAGAAGCGGTTCACGATTCTCATCCACGTCGCGATCTGGGGCATCGTCGGCGGGATCGCCTTCTTCATCCTGTTCGCGATCGTCGGCGCGGCGCTCGCGATGGGGGGTGGCGGCGGTGGCGGCGGGTTCCTGCTGCTCGTGCTCCCGTACCTCGTGCTCGGCATCGGTGCGCTCGCGTGGTACGTCTACTACCTGGGCGGCATCCTGCGCCTCTCCCGCGGCGCGAAACGCGCGACCAAGTCGCTCGACGTCAGGCCCGCATGACGATCGCGATCGACGACACGAACGACCCCGTCTCCGGCGTCCTCTGCGTCGCCTGCGGCTACGACCTCACCGGGCTCAGCGCCACGGCCAACTGCCCGGAGTGCGGCACCCCCGTCCGCGACTCCGAGAACCCGATGCTGATGCGCTACTCGGACCTCGAATCGCTCGAGCGCGTCCGGCTCGGCCTGCGCCTCGTCTTCTGGGTGTCCATCGCCGTCTTCGTGATCCTGCTCGCGCTGATGGCGGCCTACGCCATCTGGGAGTGGGAGCTCGCGCTCATCGCGACCTTCGCGGTCAGCGGCCTGGCGCTCCTCCTCGACCTCTTCGGCTGGTTCCTCGCGACCACGGTCCTGCACCGCATGCCGGATCAGCGACGCCTCGGCCAGCTCCGCTTCGGCGTCCTCGTGCTCCTCGCCACGTACGGCGCCCTCAACATCTTCGAGAGCTTCCTGACCGACGTCGCGACAGTCACGTGGTCCGCGCCCGTCGCGGCAATCTGGACCGTCGTGACGCTCGCGCTGTTCGCGACGCAAGAGACGACCAAGCTCGCCTACCTCAAGCGGCTCGCACTCTTCGTCCCGGACTGGACACTCGCGCGCCGATACGCGTTCCTCTCGCACCTGATCCTCTGGACCACGCTCCTCTTTGGCCTCGCGTACCTCGCGTTGGGCGCGTTCGACGCGAATGTTTTCACAAATCCGGATCAGCTCTTCACACAGAACAGGGCCGTCGGCGTTCTCTATTCCGTGGTGACCCTCCTCACCGGGGCTATCCTTGCGCTCGCGTACTACCTGCCCTACACGGTGTATCTCTACAAAGCCGGCAACCGGGTCGCCGACGCCTGCGGATTTGCTTCCAAGAGGGAGTACGCCAAGCACTACACGGAGGCCCGAGCAGCGCCATGAGCACCGTCTCCCCAACAGCGCCCTTCGAGGGCGAGCTCATTCGCGAGCCCACGCCCTGCGGGAAGTGCGGCTACGACCTCCGCGGCCTGCGCCACGGCACGCGCTGCCCCGAGTGCGGCCAGCCCGTTGTCGAATCCACACGCCGGAGCGAGCCCGCGAGCTTCGGCAAGCCGCTCGTCGAAGCGCCGGACTGGTACCTGCGATCGCTCCACATCGCGTTCCTGATGATGACGCTCTCGTGGCTCACCGCCGTGGTGAGCATGGTGCTCAGCTGGTTCGGCTGGCGCCCGCTCGGGTTCATCCCGGACGCGGCCCTCGACATCGGCCTAGCGATGCTCTGGGCGGGCGGCGTGCTCATCACCCTCCAGCCGCGGCCCGAGAACGTCCGCGGCAAGAAGGACGGGACGCCCATGCGCGAGGTCCCGATCCTGCGCCAGCTCGTCGCGCTGATGCAGATCCCCATCGTCCTCGCCCCGGTCGCGTTCGCCTTCGCGTCGAACGCGGCGGCGCCCACCGGCTGGGTCACAGTCGGTTTCATCATGACCACGCTGGGCGTGGGGGGGTACATCCCGACGGCCCTCTACTTCGCGCAGATCGCGGAATGGGCGCGAGACACAAACCTGGCGGAGAAGCTCCGCGCCTACGGCTGGCTCGTCGGTATCGGGCTCGTGGGGTCGCTGTTCGTGTACGCGGCGCTCGAGCTGCAATCGTTCCTGCCCATCCTCCCGTTCATCGTGGCGCCGCTCTGGCTGCTCGTCTTCGCGACGCTCACGATCTCGACGATCCTGCTGACCATCTCGACGATCCGCCTCATGAACATGGCGCGCTGGCTGCTCATCAACCGACGGTCGCTCCTCGATCGCGACGCGCGGATGATCGAGAAGGCCCAGCGCCAGGCCGAGGAGATGGCCTCCCGCCACCCCAAAGCGCCGCCGCCGCAGGAATACGATCAGGCGCTGTACGACTCCGTCATCGAGAAGCACGATCGATCCCGGGACGAGGCCGAGGAGCCGACGAGCCCCCCGAAGAGCGTGAAGTTCGCCAGCGAGCAGCGGATGGAAAAAACCGGCGAGAATCCGTACGGCCTCGAAGAAGACGAATCCTGAGCCGCTCAGACGCGAATCCCCCCACAGAGCCCGAATCGACGCCGCCCCGTCGGGTGGCACGATCGCCCGTTTCCTGCTCTCCTAGTGGACGTTCCGGGCACCCCCCGGCCCGATCCGCGGGCCGCGCACACACACGATCCACGCCACGCCGAGACGCGATGACACAGCACACCCAAAGCACGACCGCTTCGACCTCAAGCGGGTCCGACACGAGCACCAAAACCCTCCGCTGCGCCTGCATCGGCGTCGGCCGCATGGGCCGCCACCACGCGCGCAAATACGCCCAGATGCCGGACGTCGAGCTCGTCGCCATCGTCGACGCCGACAAGGACAAACGCGAGGCCGCCGGCGAGGAGCACGGCTGCCCCGTCTTCGCGGACGAGAAGGACCTGCTGGGCCTCGACCTCGACGCGGTGACCATCGCCGTGCCGACCAAATATCACCTCAAGTGCGCCAAGCCGCTGCTCGAGAACGGCATCGCCTGCCTCATCGAGAAGCCCCTCGCGACCGACGAAGAAGAGTCCCGCGAGCTCGCGATGCTCGCCGAGAAGCACGGCGCGACCCTCATGGTCGGCCACATCGAGCGGTTCAACCCCGTCGTGCGCGCGCTGGAAGAGACCGACGACGACGGCAACACGATCAGCGCGAGCGACTCCATCCGCCCGCGCTTCATCGAGGTCCACCGTGTTTCGCCCATGCCCTTCCGCTCGCTCGACGTCTCCGTCGTCATGGACATGATGATCCACGACCTGGACGTCGTCCTCTGGCTCATGGGCGGCAACGAGCCGGTGGACATCCAGGCGTCGGGCGTCGCCGTGCTCTCCGACGGCCAGGAAGACGTCTGCAACGCGCGCCTCACCTTCGAGACCGAGCACGGCAAGTGCGTCGCGAACATCACCGCCTCGCGCCTCGCGATGAAGACCGAGCGCAAAACCCGCATCATCGGCGAGAACGCCTACGTCAGCATCGACTACGGCGCGAAGTCCGGCCTGCTCATCCGCAAGAACGCCAACTCCCCCCAGCTCGAAGAGCTCCGAGCCGCCATCCGCGCGGGCACGGACCTCTCGGACCTGAACTACAACGACCTGCTCACCATCGACAACCTCGACGTGGACGACGCGGACCAGCTCGAAGCCGAGATCCGCGCCTTCCTCGACTGCGTCCGCACGAAGCGCACCCCGCCGATCGACGCCAAAGCCGGCTTCGCGGCCGTGCGGACGGCGCAGCGGATCATCGAGATCGCGCGGAGAGACTGGTAGGCACCAGCCATCAGCCACCAGGCATCAGAAAGCCCCTCCCAGAGGGAGGGGTGGGGGTGGGTTCTCTCCTCCCGACTGCCGACCTGCCGACTGCCGACGACCCCTCCCGACGCTATAATCTCCGCCCACCCCCGTACCAAGCATCAGGAGCCTTCCCGTGGCCGACCGCACCTTCCGCTGCAAGCTGATCACCCCCGAGGCCCGCGTCATCGACGCCGAGGTGACCTACGCCCGCATCCCCCTCTGGGACGGCAAAACCGGCGTCATGCACCACACCTCCGCCTTCGTCGGCAAGCTCGGGTTCGGCGAGCTCCGCCTGGAGTTCCCCCAGGGCTCGCCCAAGCGGTGGTTCATCGACGGCGGCTTCGTGCAGAACGTGAACGACGAGGTCACCATCCTCGCCAACGGCGCGGTCCCCGCGGAGGACCTCGACCTCTCCGAAGCCAAGGCCGAGCTG